TAGGGCTTAGGGGTTAGGGCTCAGGGTTTAGGGTTTAGGGCTTAGGGCTTAGGGGTTGAGGGCTCAGGGTTTAGGGTTTAGGGCATACGATTCCTTAATATTCATATGGGTGGTTGTCAAAATTATGGTCCCTTTTTGGGTCCGTAATATAATACGGCACCTAATATTTAGGGTACCCCAAAAGGGACCCTAATTTTGACAACCACCCATATAGGGCTCCTGAATATACGGATGCTCAAACATGCCCCGGAACCTTGGAGGCCCCCAGGTAGGGTTTAGGGTTTAGGGTTTAGGGTTTAGGGTTTAGGGTTTAGGGTTCCCACACCTTTTGAAACCTAGACCATAGACCTGAACTCGACAACCCTTCCTACGGTTGATGAAATAAATCCTGCATTGCCTTAAGGACCCTAAACTATGGGAATTATGGTCTGTTCCTTATTATGCATAATGCAGGATTAGATCATCAACCGTACTCTTCCTAAATCCCAAAACCCGCAAACCGTCAAGCCCTTGACCCCGAAACCCATATTCTTGGCGGAGTTTTGTCGCAGCGGAGTAACAGCTATTCAGGGTTGCCTGTTAGTGGTAGGACTTTCATGCTTAACTGCTTCGGTTTCAGGGCCGAACCTGCTCCTAATCCCTGAAGCCCGCCCTAAACCCTAAACTCCAAGTCTAAGCCCTACACTGCCCTACACCCTATCACCCTGAAGCCGCCACCCAGTCCGGAAAAAATTGCCCATGGACCCTAAACCCTAAACCCTAGGCCCTAAACGGGATGCGGGTTTAGGGTTTGGGGTTTAGGGAACAAAGGGGCATCCGGATGCCGAAGTTCTTCTTATTCCTTATAACCCGAAAACCTACACCAACCCAACTCGACGAGCCCTGGTGCGGGCGTCATGGCCGTGATGATGTGCTCCACTAGGGAAGCGAGGGTCACCAGGACGTCAATGTAGTTCATACAGTTCCTGGTTTACGCTTTAGGGTCTAGGATTTGGGGCTTAGGGCTTTACTCAACATCTGTTTCAATGATACCACGTACCGAATGTACCGCGAAGTCCTGAACAAGCTTAAATTTTAAGCTGCATCTTATACTACCCTCAACCTCAGTACATAACTGGTAAGTGCTACGGACGCTTAAGCTTCAAGAAAAACCAAGGGCTAAACCGCATAAACCCGAATTACTCCTTCTGAGGTCCTTCTGGAAGGTACACGACAAATGGCTTTTGGGAGACCCCTGCTGACAAGAAACGCCATAGCCCCAGGAACACGAAAAAGGTGCCTGCGCACCATAACGGTAAACTTCGCAGTCGCAGACTCGACCCTAAACCCTAGATCGACCCTAAACACGAAACCCTAAACCCACCCAAAACCCAAAACCCAAAACCCTAAACCCCAGACTTGATCGTTCCGGGCTCTTCTCCGGACACTTTTCGTGGCAACGACTTGGATCCCCAGGGACCATGGTCCCAGACTTCCCCAAAGCCTGAAGAAAGGGGCCCCCAAAGTCGTTAATGTCGGGTTGTGAACTCTTTTGGGTTTAGGGTTTAGGGCTTATAGTAGTATAAATATCAAAATGAACCCTAAGGAATAATAGTTTACATGGTAATTCTTTCGGCTTCTATTTCGGAGGTTTGTGGCGATACTGAAAGTATAGAGACATCATGCAGCGAACGAAGAAAACTCGGAAAGCGGCACCCAAAAATCTAAGCCGGGTTCCCACCACAAAGGGTACAGTCCCGAGACCCCAAACCCTGTACCCTAGATCCCTAATCTCTAAACCCTAAACCCCACATCCTTAAGCCCAAAGCCTCTTCACCCTACATCCCTATAAACCCCCTAAATCTCTTATCCCGAAGTCCTAAAACCCAAAATCCCGACCACCAGTAAGAATGGTGTTAGCAATATTAATCGTAATTGTAGTACCGTAGTAAAAGTCATCATGACCCCTAAACCCTAAACCCTAAACCCTAGCAATGAACAACAGCAATAATGACGGCAATAAGAAAAAGCACGAGTGAGCCCAGGCTCGTCCAGAACTTGAGCCTGGCACAGCGCTTCGGCTTTTAGTCTAAACGGGCCTCAACAATTTCAATAAGGCTCCTGTAAGGCTTCGTTTAAGCGGCCCTTCAAAGGGCTTTTATACAGGGGTTGCTGTAGAGGATTAATACAACTGCCGTACGACGTCGAAGTGTATAGTATACTATAAACCCGAAACCTAAACCCCTATATAGTTCAGTCCATCGGGAAAATATTGCCACCTGATGTTGACACTTCTGCATTTTGGAGTTTCAGCGCTTTTAGTTCATAAATGATTCCGGGTTTTGGAGATTTTTGTGCGCAGGTTTAGCATTGTTAGGGTTTATAAGAGTTTAGGGTTAAGGGTTTAAGGTTTAGGGTTTCAGAGTTTAGCGTTGAAGCTTCAGGTTGCAGGTAGTGCGGAGATTCACAGGGGTTCCGTCTGAGTAGCTTTGGCAAGGCTTCTGGTTTTCCGTTATTGGTTCTTACAGTTTCGCGCAAAATCATCTTCTGTCAATCGTGTGCGAACTAAAGCTGCAGGGCCGCCCTAAAAATCTTGCGAACATATCGAGATGCCTGTGGGACGAGTGGGACGAACAACGAAGTTTATGGAGTGAAGCCCTAAACCCTAATCCCTCACCAAGCCCTAAACCGTAAACCCCTAAACCCTAAAATCTACACCCCAAAACCCCTAAACCGTAAACCCCTAAACGTTAAACTCCAGAACAACACCTAAACCCTAAACCTCTAAACCCTCAACCCTAAACCCTGAACCCCTAAACACCAAACCCTCCAGGTGTATGGAGCCCTGGAGGCAGTCAGGCGCCACACCTCAGCACCAAGATCCGGATGCCCACGTCAAGGGTGAAGAGGGCCGTAAACATCCTGGGTCGGTCGTGGGGGCTTTAGGGTTTTTGGTTTTGTTTAGGGTGTAAGGTTTGAAATTTCGAGTTCAAGGTTTAGGGATTAGGGTTTAGGGTTTTCTCGAGATCTCCAAACACGAAGATGTTTGTCGAGGAAGCCACAAAGCACTCATGGCCAACTCAATCCCAAAGCCTCCTGTGGGGCCTAAACAATCACCTATACTATTTTTTGGGCTCCTTATTACCATTCCAGCATAATGGGCCCCAGAACCCTATTCTAATTATTAAGGCCCCTACATTACGCAACCTAGATTTAAGTACCTGGATCCAGGGTGCAATCTACCGGATCGTTCCTTGGTTCTTGGAAGTCTCTGGGCTCTTTATGTTTCGGGTAACTATAAGCCTAGCGACCACCTTCCCCAATCATGCGAAGCAAAACTCGACACTGCTGCAGATGGTGTCCAGCACCCTCAAACAGAAAACCCTGATGAAGAAGCCCAGCTGCAAGTATCTTTCATTTTATGAAAGCCCCTACAAGAAACCACATATATCAAGTGAAACCCATAGTTACGCAAAGCCGCAGTCCAAGACTCAAAAGCGCCTATTCTCAAACCTCTGACCGGCTTACGGCTTAGCCATGAAGCCTAAGACCCTAGATCCTAAACCCTATAACCCCTATCACCCCTAAACCCCCTAAATCCCTAAACCCTGGACCTGTCAGAAATCATCTAACGCAGCTCCAGTGACTGATCCCCCACCACGAAGAAGGTCTCCATGCTGGGCCACCAGCTCTCGGGAATCAGGAGGTGCTTGAAGAACTCTATCCTGGGCTTTGGGTTGGGTTTAGGGCTTAGGGTTAAAATCTGAATTGGACTTTCTCCGCAGGATCTGGTCCACCTCTGATTTTTTCGGGTTTGGGGGTCGTGAGTCTGAGGGTGTAGGAGTTCAGAGTTTAGTTCATATGGGGTTGCTGAAATCGGAGGCCCCATATTGGGGGTCCCTGTCCTGAGGATCTTATTCCAATTGCTATTCAGGCCACCATACTAGACCTCAAAGCCAGAAACCCGGCTTTCCCCTCAAAGCCGGCTTAGGGTTTCAGAAGTCATGCCAAACCCCAGAGATTTGCTGAGACCATGGGAGTTTCCGAAAATAGGGGACCCTAATACAGCACCCTAAATAGTAGGACCCATAAGGGCCCCAAAATAAGCTACCCTAATTTTCGGAAACTCCCACGTACCTGCAGCTAGACCGAACCGTGCCAAATGACCAAAAGCCTCATAGGCGTCAACTCTTAAAGTCCAAGACCACTCGCTGACTCTGAATCCCTAGCCCTAAACCCAAATCAGGCATACAATAGATTAAAGCAACCACCTTGTAGGGCCCCGTCAGCCCAAATCCAAATATCAAACGCTGAGCGCTACCGACTATCCCTAAACCTACACCCTACCTTTAGTCTCCATTTCAATATTCAGGGTCCCATACTGTGAAGGAAGGAACCCCCAAAAGGAACTACAATGGAGACTATAGGTAAACACGAAATTCTGCATTGGAGACCCCTAAACCCTAAAGCCTAAACCCTGAACTCTAAACCCCTAAACCCTAAACCCTAACGCCGCCCAGAGTCTGGACCCCTGTGACGGATCCGGAGAACTGGAGTTCAAAGCCCATAAAAATGACGTTCAGGCACAGGAAGGCGGTAATCAAGAAATCCTGGGCTTCTTAAGGCTTCTGTATTAAAGGAAACTACAGGTGGGGAGTTTAGGGTATATAAAGTTTCGATAAGGCTTCCACAAGGTATATAGACCTTCTATAAGGCTCCTATAACGGTAACTACCCACCTGAGAATGTCATTGACTGTATGAGTTCTTCAACGGAGTGCCCGAAACCCTGAACCCCCAAACCCTGAACCCTAAACCCTCAAACCTAAAGCCTAAACCGGACTCTTTGAGGGATGTTATAAGGACGGTTAGGGCCCAAGGGTCCACGAGGATGGAGGATACGGGTTCGGGGTGGGGTTGTAACTCGTTTTTCTGTTGGGGGTCGGTGCGGATATCGGATGCAAGACATGTATCGACAAATGAATCCATCGACCGATCAATCGATTGATCGATCCCTCCCTCCCTCCCTCCCTCCCTCCCTCCCTCCCTTCCTCCATCCATCCGTGCATCCATCCATCCAACCGTCTGTCCGTCCGTCCATCCGTCCGTCCATCCATCCGTCCATCTCTCCATCTCCGCCCCCGATGTTGATCTGTAGCTATAGCTGACACTATAGACAGACTTAGACACATGTATGTACAGATATATGTATGTAGGTCCGTCTGCATCTACATCCGCATCTGTTTATCCCTCTCTCTTTGTTTATGTGTATATATATATATGCACATGTATATGCGCATGTATCTGTTTACTTGAATATCTATATCTTGCACCTAACTTTAGGTCTACGTCTGTCTATAGTTGTATCTTGATATACGTCTCAACCTATGTTACATGAGTATGTATGTATGTATGTATGTATGTATGTATGTATGTATCTATGTATGTATACGTGTATATATATATATATATGTATGTATGTGTAGTTATATGTATATACACATACGAATATGTATATGATGTAGTTCTGCTGCATATGTTCACACAAACAAACCAGCCCACCAACTCACCCACCGCCGCCCACACACACAAACAAACACCCACCCATGCACGCACACACGCACATACAGACAGACACATGCACAAACACACAGATACAGAACACACACACACACGCACACGCACACGCACACACGCACACGCACACGCACACAGACAAGCACAAACGCACACACACACACACACCACACATACTATACATTATATATAATGCTGCATGCTTTCAAGCTCGATATATATATATATATATGTATAGATGTTTAAATACACACATACATGTAGTCTAACATCTGTACACAAATAAACAAACCAAGATGAAGACAAACATACAAACAACTAATGAACAGATACGTATAGTTACATACATACATACATACATACATACATACATACATACATATATATGTGTATATATATATATACGTATGAAAAGTTATATATGCATACACATGCACAGTTTTGTGTGTATACAAATATATTATGTGGCATGGACCTTTATGTATAGTTTGGCGATCTCTTTGGTTTTAAATACATTACCTCTATATGTTCATACGTTCTCTATGCATTATTTCGCAATCTGGGTCTGTTTACCGGCAGCAGCAGAAACGTTGTAGATGATTGGAAGATATATTCGAACCAGGGTGAGGACGATATGGAGCTCATATTGATTCACAAGGATTTGTCGCGATCTTCGCTCAATCTGCATCGGGTCAACTTCGTCAGATTTGCCTATCGCAGTAAAATGCATCGGATCAACTTCGTCAGACTGGACTGCTCATCCGAGCTGATTGGAAGCTATATATTCGAACCACGGTCAAAACAATGTGGAGTTCATATAGATTCACAAGGATTTGTCACGATCTTCGCTAAATCTGCATCGGGTCAACTTCGTCAGATTTGCCTATCGCAGTAAAATGCATCGGATCAACTTCGTCAGACTGGACTGCTCATCCGAGCTGATTGGAAGCTATATTCAAACCGCGGTCAAAACAATGTGGAGTTCATATTGATTCACAAGGATTTGTCACGATCTTCGCTAGATCTGCATCGGGTCAACTTCGTCAGATTTGCCTATCACAGTAAAATGCATCGGATCAACTTCGTCAGACCGGACTGCTCATCCGAGCTGATTGGAAGCTATATTCGAACCGCGGTCAAAACAATGTGGAGTTCATATTGATTCACAGGGATTTGTCACGATCTTCGCTCAATCTGCATCGGGTCAACTTCGTCAG